AACACATCTTCCCTGAGGCCCGGCGACCAAAGTTCCAAGACATTTGTTCCAAGTTCCTCGCGACGAATTGATTGATTGATTGATTGAGTTCTTGTGTTGCACTTGCACCATTTGGCGAGTCCTTGGCAGCACTGTGATTTTCCGAGAGATCTTGCCAGTTCTAAAAGCTCTGAAGGGATTTGAATTTCCATTCGCGGCCGACGGGAAGGGCTTACTTTTGGGGCCGGAGTTGGCTGGCGTCCGATTTGCTGCGCGAATTAACCTGCGGCTTCGCTGGAAACACTAATAGCGCTGCTCGACATTTGTTTTCAATATAGTGAGAGAGAGAAAAAGAGAGGGGGGGGGGAGAAGGGACTGAGAGAAGAAGAGTGAGAGAGAGGGAGGGATATAGAGGGAGAAAAGGGGAAAGAAAGAGAGAGAGAGAGGGGGGGGGAGATAATGATAGAGAGTGAGAGATATAAAAAAAGAGAGTTAGAGAGAGAGAGAAAGACATAGAGCCAGAGAGAGATTAAAAAGAAAAATTCAAAGTGTGTACATGTGAGAGAGATACTAAATACTATTATCATTGTTGTTACTGTTATTAACTATGATGATTATTATTATTGTATATTTTATTATTATTATTATTATTATTATTATTATTATTATTATTATCATTATTACTGTTATCATTATTATCATCATAATTACCATTATCATTGTTATCATTGTTATTATCAGTATTGTTATCATTATCATTATAATTGTTATTATTATCGTTATTACAATTATTATCGTTATCATCCTTATTATAATTATTTTTATTATTATTATTACTATTATTTTTGTTTAAGTTGTTTTTGTTCTTGTTATCATTTATATTATTATCATAATCCTTATTATTATTTTTACTATAGTTATTATCATTATTATTATCATTATTATCATAATTATTATTATTATGATTACTATTATCATTATTATTATTAATTTATTGTCATTATTATTATCCTCATCATTATTATTAATATAATAATCATTAATTAATATTATTGTTATTATCATTATTATTATTATTATTATCATCACTATTATTATTATTGTTACTGTTATTATTATTATTATTATTATTATTATTATTATTATTATTATTATAATTATTATCATCGCTGTTGTTGTCATTAATATTACTATTATTATGATTATTATTATTAAAATTACTATTATGATCATCATTACCATTATTATTATTATTATTATAATTATCATTATTATAATTGTTGTTGTTATTGTCATTATACTCTCTTTGTTGTTATTATTATTATTATTATTATTATCATCATCATTATCATTGTAGATATGTGATATATTAGTGTCTGTATATACCATACCATAACATGTACACCATTGATTGTCACCCTCTGTATCATATTAACCATGCAGCTATCTACCTCCATACATGTAACAACTTCCTGTAACAACATGCCTCAGGCAGTGTCACCAGCGAGCTGACTGTCCGGTCGCACACCGCAGTGCTCCTCTGTGTACTTCAATATAGCCTCGATAAGTGATCCCTGGGTTGAACCTACAAGCATACCCGGCAAATCATCACACTACATGGCGCAGTGAGATACCAGGCTAAGTACCAGAGCAAGGGCTGGATCAACAAAAGTCTTCCTCCTTGCCTCGCCTCCTAGACCGACGCCATTACGCTCTCTAAGTGAAATAGTGATTTGCACACACCAGGAACGTTTAACAGTGTTAGTGACTAGTGCAGTGCCCTGTATGAGGTTTAGTGCTGTGGAAGTGTACTGAGCTGTGTTAGTGGCCGTGATTATTTTGTGTCTGTGGCCTTCTATGTTACAGTAGTACACCAGCTAATGTCTCCGTTAAGACATTATAACAAAGTAAGTCCTGCTCTCTACGCCGTCGCGGCGGAAACTGAGCATCGAAGTTGCTGAGAGCCATTCGTGACGTCACGGGCTCTCGCTCTCGCCTCTCGCAGTCACTGCCGAGAAACTTATAATTGTATTAAAAGGAGTTAATACAGAGAAGTTTTCGGACGTTTTACTGCTCCACTGATTGTTCTACAGTGAAGTGAAGGATCATGTCTACTCCACGAGATTATGCCGAATCTGTAGACACCCCACATCACCCAGATACAGAGAGGAAATGGCCGGGCCATCCACGGCCCAATTACCAGGCCATGATGGGCCACCCGCATGGACCGATAGCCCTCATTACCGCGCTGGCGATAACCCGCCACCCATGACGCCTTGGTACACAGGCAGAGGAAGTACGCCGGACTTTCTCTACCATATTAAATGCATGGAAGAGGCCCGAATTTCCTCAGAAAACCGCAGGAGGGCAGAAGATGAAGACAGAAGATTGCAAGAAGAGGAGACGCCAAGAGGAAGACAGACGACGTCAAGAGGAAGATAGACGACGCCAAGAGGATTAGAGGCGACGTCAAGAGGATGAGATGCAGAGACGACAAGAGGAAGATAGGAGACGTCAAGAAGACATGCGGCGTAGAGAAGAGTACGAACGTTTTGCAGCTCTGATAAAGATGTTAGTACCACAACATGTCTCATCAGAATTTAACCCAGCTGCACCAGAGTTCGCTCCCGCCACGCCCACCGCTGACGCCTCATCCGTCGTCACTTCTGCTGCCACCACGAACGTCACAAGTACTTCATCAGTGACACATCCTGCCAGTAAGACATTATGAGCAGATGATACCTTCCAGACGTTTCGCCAGTGGCGCCGTAGTTGGGACAATTACGCCATGATGGTGGACCTGCCGAAGCTGCCCAAGATGTCGGTGTCCCTCGATGTGCAACGGATCCTGTAGTACACGCTGGGGATTGCACATGACACTCCACTGACAGTCGACGAAGTACTGGATGAACTCCAAAGGCACTTTAAGAACCAGCGTAACAAAGCTCTGCTTCGATGTGAACTTGTGTGTTGCAAACTTCTACATATCCATGAAAGACCTCGCAGAGGAAGTGGATTTGTGTTCAGGTGAACCAGTTACTTGTGCGGAGGCACAGCTCAAGATGATCCTGCTGATGGCTGTCAAGGAGGAAGAGCTTGTGCAACGCCTCATCTCTCTCCATGCAGGTGCATCACCTGCATGCAGTTTCAGCCATCCACTCATCCCCAAGTCAACTGTGTGCTGTTTCAAGCTACAAAAAGAGGAAACAGCATGAAAAGACCACCCACTCTCCTCCAAGACGTCAAGGACAAAAATTTGCATTGAAGACCTACTCCTGTCAGTCATGTACCCGACGACAGGGACAAGGGAAATGCCCTGCTAAGGATGGCATGTGCTCAAATTGCGGACGCAAAGGACATTGAGCCAGGACCAGCAAATGTCCTGCAAAGGATTTGCATTGAACACCTACTCCTGTCAGTCATGTACCCGGCGATACGGACACGGGAAATGCCCTGCTAAGGATGACATGAGCTCGAATTGCGGACGCAAAGGACATTGGACCAGAACCAGCAAATGTCCCACAAAGGAAGCCGAGTGCTGCTCATGTCACAAGAGAAGCCATTTCGTCAAGGTATGCAAATCGAAGAAGGCCGACGACAACAAAGGAAGAACAACAACTGTCGTTGCGTGTCAGCAAGACAGCAAGACTCCCAAGCCAGTTAGTGTCCACCTGACATATGGCCAGGCCACATCACGCCTTCAGATGTTGCCAGATACGGGCGAGGATGTCACGATCATGGGTAAGAGACACCTGGATTTGCTGAAGATCCCCCGCAGTGATTTACAGCCCCAAGCATCCACCACAACCCTGACAGCTGATGGATCTGAAATGGCTCCTGCCCTGGGATTTTTCCATGCAACACTACGACTAGGAAAGAGGACTTGCAAGGCCAAGATACAAGTCCATGATGGTGTCACGACTCCTCTCCTCTCTTATGGACACTGTCAGGAGTTAGCCATCATTTCTTCCCAATTCCTGAAGCCGATTTTGGAGGTCAAACATGCTTACAGGTGTGCTGAGTCGCACCTCCCTAACCTGCCAACCTCGTCTGCTGCAAGAGAATATTTCCTACAGGAATACAAGGACGTGCTACTCACCAAGAAGGTGGCTCCACTACAGTCATAGTAGGGAGGACCAATGAGGATACACTTAAAGGAAGGATCAGTACCATTTGCCATCCACACTCCGAGACAGATTCCCTTCGCATTTCAGCAACAGGTGAAGGACCCTCTGAACCCTCTGGCTGGTGCCACCCGCTAGTCACCGTAACGAAGGATAAAGGTGTAAGGATTACTGTTGACTTATCCCACCTCAATAGCCAAGTATCCCCCCCAACACAGCCTTCTCCAACACCCTTCGAAGCCATCTGTCGCGTCACTCCATCATCACAGACATTTCACGACAGCGGATGCTTTGTGCGGATATTGGCAACTTGAACTCGCTGAGGAGGACCAGCACCTCACCACTGGTGAACCAACTGTCAGATTTCACCCCAGATATTGCTGCTGTTGCCCAAACCCTTCGCCCCTTGTTGAGCCCAAAACGGACATGATGAGGCCTTCCGACGCATCAGAGAAGCTTTGCTAAAACCACCAGTGTTGGCACACTTCGACCCAACACTTCCAATCGTGCTGCAAACGGACGCCTCTCGCATCTATGGAATCGGCTACGCATAACTCCAAGACCATGGCCAGGGCCGGCTATGACTTGTTCAGTGTGGCTCGCGGTTCCTCAACGATGCTGAGACACGGTATGCCACCAATGAATTAGAGTTACTTGCCGCCGTCTGGGCCACATCCAAGTGTAAACCATACTTGATTGGAGTCCCGAACTTCACACTGATGACAACAAGTACACGTTGGACGCAGCAGAGAATCCCCACCTCCAACGCCTTAAGGGTCTCATCTCACCCTACCAATTTATGGCTGTGTGGCGTGCTGGAAAGCTGCTGACATCACCAGCACAGTTCAAGCCTGCCAGCCATGTCAGGTCATGCAACCCAGCCAACAGCAAGAGACCATGCAAAACGATGATAACCCTACAAGGCCTTTTGAGTCTGTGTCTGCCGACTTCTTCACAGTTGCTGGGAAGTCTTTCCTGGTAATTGCGGATAGACTCTCTGGCTGGCCCGTCATCGTTCCCTGTGGTGCCTCGTCTACAGCATCACGCACCACACGCATGTTCTGCTGTTACTTCAGGGACGTTGGTGTTCCCCTCCGCTTGAGGACTGATGGAGGACCCCAGTTCACCCGCTACGAGTTCCAAGAGTTCATGAAACGATGGGGCATACACCACCTGGTATCCTCACTACATTACCCCCAGTCGAACGGACACGCCGAGGCGGCCGTCTAGTCAGCAAAGTACCTCATCATGAAGACGGCGCCCTCTGGTAACCTAGACAACGAAGACTTCGATAGAAGCCTCCTCGAGCTGCTCAACACCCCTAACGTCACAGGAATGTCTCCCGCGCAGATACTCTACGGCCGCCCACTCCGCTCCTGTGTTCCTGCCCATCCAGAGTCCTTCTCGTAGGAATGGAAAGAAAAGTCAGAAAACTACGAACTGCCGACCGTGCCTAGCAGATTAAACGTCAGTACGACAAGCACGCTCGCAACCTACCCAAGTTACGTATAGGACAGACGGTACGGATCCAGGACCCGAACTCACAACTGTGCCATCCATAACAAGGATGGCACAGTTATGGGCTGCGGCAGATCAAGGGATTATGAGGTGCGACTACCTAGTGGACGAGTTTGGTGGCGTAATCGACGACTCCTACGACCAGTGCCAACCCCTAGTGTTGATCCCCTCCCCCACAGAGAGAGAGACAGACAGAGACAGGCAGAAAGAGTGAGAGAGAGAGACAGAGACAGAGAGAGAAACAGAGGGACAGAAACAGAGACAGAGACAGAGATAGAGAAAGAGAGAGAGTGAGAGAGAAAGAGAGAGACAGACAGAAAGACAGAGGGACAGAGATAGAGTGGGAGAGAGAGAGAGACAGAGTGAGTGAGAGAGAGAGACAGAAAGAGACAGAGAAAGAGAGAGAGAGAGAGACAGAGGGACAGAGACAGAGTGAGAGAGAGACAGAGACAGACAGAAAGACAGAGGGACAGACAGACAGAGAGAGAAAAAAAAGAGAGGGAGAGAGACAGACAGACAGAAAGACAGAGGGACAGAGACTGAGTGGGAGAGAGAGAGAGTGGGGGGGGGGGAGAAGAGGAAGAGAGAGAGAGAGGGGGGGGGAGAGAGATAGAATAGAGAGAGAGAGAGTGGGGGGGGGGAGAAGAGGAAGAGAGAGAGAGGGGGGGGGGAAGAGAGAGAGAGAGTGGGGGGGGGGAGGAAGAGGAAGAGAGAGAGAGAGAGGGGGAGAGATAAATAGAGAGAGAGAAAGTGGGGGGGGGGGGAAAGAGGAAGAGAGAGAGAGAGAGAGGGGGGAGAGATAGATAGAGAGAGAGATTCTAACAGCAGAAGGTGAAAAAAAATCTTTACAAACTTACTTCCATTTTCTTAGAAACGAGAATTGCTAATACACTAAACAGAAAAAGACGCAAGAAAAATATAACTCATTAATTCCTGAAGTTTTTAGTCTTCTTCTTACTTTTCTCCAAAAGATTCTAATTATAATTCACATTATTTTTATACATACAACTCTCTTTAAATGTGTACATAGGAGAAAATACTATATGATCTAGCTTTTCTTGTGATATGTGCTTGTTGGTTGGAGCATGGCTATATATATCAGGATTTTTTTCTCTCTCTGTATAACAGTCTGTCTGAATCTCTGCTTGTTTTTATTTGTATGTGCATGTATGTACGCATGTATGTGTGCGTGATAACTGTGTAATGATCATCAGCCTCCATTCTTTCTTCGCTTTCCTTTCCTTTATATCTGATACGTATTCACGATTTGTTCTTCCCTTTGTTTACAAGAGCCTGCAACAGCATCCACCCAGCAAATACCGCCAGTGCTTAGTCAGCGGTACAATCTGCTCAAACAAAATAGCAAATAACGCAATTGTATTTCCGACAAACAAAGCCTCTCCAGCCCTTGGAACTCCCCGCCTTGCTTGAATTAATCACCTCGTATACATAATTAACTCTCCCACTTGGATTAATTTTTGGTTTTAAGAAATGCGACCGTCAGAAAGTTTGGGAATCCTCCGGGCGTCAGACGTTGCCTAAAATCGCCTAATTTCTTTTCTGTATGAGAGTGTGTCTGTAAATATATATATATGCATATATATATATATATATATATATATATATATATATATATATATATATATATATATATATATATATATATATATATATATATATATATATATATATATGTATGTATGTATGTAAGTATGTATACCTATCAATCTATCTGTCTATCTATCTACATATATATATGTATATATATATATATATATATATATATATATATATATATATATATATATATATATATATATACATATGTATATATATATATATATATATATATATATATATATATATATATATATATATA